CTTGGTCCCGTTACTGTGGAGACACGAGTGTGTGAGAAAGGGAGATTCGTGTTGGAGTGGATGCAAAAGCCTCTTGGGGCCTTTCCTTGGAGAACAAGGCAGAGGAGGGGGTTTGAAGATCTGGTGTGGAACTCCACTGGCCTGGCAAGGCTCTATCTATTGGCTGTCCTGTTTTTGGCCAGAAGCAGATCCCATCTGAGGCTTTGGCAAGAGAGTAAGGGTGTCCGAAGGCCTTGTTGCTTAGATGAAGGGGCAGGAAGATCTATGGAAACCTTGCAATAATCCTGAGTGGAGGTACAAAAGGGACACTTGTTGCCAAGGTTACATAGGGAATATTATTATTTTTAAAAAACCCTGCTTTCTAAAAATGGATTTTCATGATATGGTGGCCCCTGATACATGCTATGTATCCTCTGACATTACGGATTTACACCTTTTACAGCTGTGTGTTCTACGCTCTTTGGGATTTTTAATTTCTTGGAAATATCTAATATTTCACCCACCTGGAGAAAGACCTCAGAGGAGAGGAGAATGTAGGGGAGAGTGGCAGAGAGACCCCAGGCTGAGGTTTTTGATTCGGAAGGGTCAGCGAGGCCCCCCCATCCCCTCATCACTGCAGCAGCAGAAGGAGGGGAGAACGCCCTTGCAATCACAGCGTGGCTGTGGGAAACAGAAAGCCCCACGTCTCCCAATTTGGCTGGAAGCCCCGGCTGCTGTTGCTCTGGGCAGAAGAAGATGCTTCTGTTGCTTTTGGAAGGAAGACAAGAATGTCTTGTGTTGCTGTGATTGGGAGGATATAAATATCTTTCTCCTTTTAAGAAAAAAGTGGTGGCCATTGTCTGCATTCAGAATAAAAGCAGTGGGGGAACAGAGATATGCAGCAAGTTTTTAGAAAAATAAGGTCCAGTCATTTGCTCTGGAGAGTGAAGGCTGAAAAAGTAACTGCATATGGTGCTACTGAGATGATAATATGCAGAGATTCCCACCCACCCCACCTCCAGTTAATGCAGCTAGGGAGCAGGCAATATTTGTTGTTGGAGATAAAACATTTTACCTTGCTAGAAATCCATTGGTAACAAATATTCCATAAGAAAGTGCCATGTCAGTGCACTGTGAAAATAAATTGTTCTCACTGGTGCAGTCGCACATGCCATTTGTAAATGGAATAGTAAGTGTAAGACTACTATAATTTATGTAAGCATTGATTTGTAATTCATTGTAATCAATGGTAGTTGGTTTGGTACAATGTTTTAATAGTGCACTATTCACTATCATTTCCCATTTACAGGGCAAACTCTTTAAATAAATGTTAGCAATACAAGACCCTGAATATATGTGCTATTTGTTATTAACATGGCACAGTAAAAGTATTACTCATTGATTACTCTGCTGACCAGTTCGAAGTGTAAGACAGCATATGTGGGTGAGTGTAAGATTTATTGTTTGGGAAGTTCATGTAAGCGATTTCCATATACGTAGTTTCTTTTGAAAGATACAGTTTTTTTCCTTGCAAGCACATCAACCCCAGCTCTTATATAGTGGGTTGAGTCACTTTGTAACATGCATGTATCATTAGAAAAAGCAGACGCATAAGATTAAATCCTGGCTTTTTCATTTGTAGAATGAACCTGAGGAGTAAGTGGAATACAGTGGGGTCTTGACTTGAGAACTTAATCCGTATTGGAAGGCGGTTCTCAAGTCAAAAAGTCTGTAAGTCAAGTCTCCATTGACCTACAGTGCATTGAAAACCGATTAATCCCGTAACAGGCCGTTTTTGTTCCATTTTGGTTTTTTTCTGGTCTGTAAGTCAAATCTCAGTCTGCAAATCAAACCTAAATTTTGCGGCCAGAGAAGTCTGTAACTCAAAAAGTCTGTAAGTCAAGCCGTCTGTAAGTCAAGGGTCCACTGTATAGGACACACATGACTGTTACAGTATTTTTCACATTCTTTTTGTTGTTGTTGTTTTTCATTATGTTTGTGACCACTGTTGTTTAGCTGAAGGTGAGATAAAAATGTAATGCATAAAAATAAATAAAAATGTCTATTCTAAGTCTGGCTTAATCTGTACCCAATCCTATGTAGTTACACAGTATAAGAATCAATACATGTTATAAAGTGTGTGTGTAGAATTAGAGTTAGAATACTATCACCATAATCAGAAATTTTCCCATTGGTCTACCAAGTTTCTAAGTCCATAATAGATATATCCAAAACTTGAGAAAGCCAAATAAGTTATATCCAATAGCGGGTTACTAATATATATATATAAATATTTAACATTTACAATGTTAAAAGTGAAGCTTGAAAAAGTTATTGCTTGGGTTTCCACTCCCAGAACTTGCATCAACCTTCATGGCCACTGATCATGCTAGCTGGGGGATTTGGAAACTACCATCCAAAAATGTTTTCCAAACTTTGGCTTAAATTTATTTCCTGTTTAAAATTTTTCCTATTTTCCATATTTATATGATTGTTTCCCCTTCTCTCTCTCTTATCTATCATAGGTTGATTTTTCCTCTGGACTTCCAAGTCCCCACAATGAAGTTTTTACTGGCAATTCTTGTGTTTGTTTTTTTCTCCTTGTATGTTGAAGAAGTTTATTCCAAAGAGAAGTCTTCAAAGAAAGGAAAAGGAAAAAAGAAGCAATATCTCTGCCCTTCGTATGTTTCTTTCCTTTTCAAAATACGTGTCTATAATGAATGTGTTGGTTATATATTGGTTGTTGTGTTAGTGTTGCCCAACAAGAGATGGCTTCTAAGGAAGTGGATCCTGCAATTTTTCCATGAAATAAGACAGACATGTAGGTCAGTCCCAACCTTGGGACTCCAAATGTTCTTGGACTTCAACTCCCAGAAATCCTAGCCAGCAGAGGTGGTGGTGAAGGCTTCGGGGACTTGTAGTCCAAGAACATCTGGAGGCCCAAGGTTGGGAACCACTGATGTAGGTCACTATGCTAAATTATGCCACCTGAGGACATCTCTCCAGGTGCTCAGGTAGATATTTTCCCAAACTACCTGGAGTAGTCAAAAGTGGAATCTGGAGCGTTTTTGGGGGGAAAAGTCTGCTCTGTCATTAAGGTATTCTAAGGTGATAGTTGAACACTGACAGTACAAACTTTTTTGTTGATTTCAATGTTTTAATTCTAAAAAATTATTAAAAATTGTTTTTAAAAACCCCTTGTCTTATAGCTTTAAAAAAACTGTATGTGCAATGATGTGATCACAAGGATCTTGTACTGGTGGCTGATGCCAATGTATTTCAATACAAGGGAAATTTGTTGTTCTTGCATGCCATGAAGTCACCTCTGACATATGAATGAGTGATCTCCAAATTTTCCTACCCTCAACAGACTTGCTCATATCTTATAAACTCAAGGTTATGGCTTCCTCTATGAGGTCAATCCATTTCATCTTTGGTCTTCCTATTTTTCTTCTGCCTTCGATTTTTCCTAGCAATATTGTCTTTTCTAGAGAATCTTGCCTTCTTAAGATGTGACCAAAGTAGGACAGCTTCAGCTCCATCACTTTTGTCTCCAGAGATAGTTCAGGCCTGATATGATCTAGGACCCACTTGTTTGTCTTTCTGGCAATCAAGGGTATCCACAAAGCTCTCCTCCAGTAAGGTAAAGGTAAAGGTTCCCTTTGACATTTAGTCCAGTCGTGCCCACCTCTAGGGCGCCGTGCTCATCCCCGTTTCCAAGCCATAGAGCCAGCGTTTGTCCAAAGACAGTTTCCATGGTCACGTGGCCAGCACGACTAGAGACGGAACGCTGTTACCTTCGCACTGAGGTGGTACCTATTTATCGACTCACATTTTTACATGCTTTCAAATTGCTAGGTTGGCAGGAGCTGGGACGAGTGATGGGAGCTCACTCCATCACATGGATTCGATCTTACGACAGCAGGTCTCTGACCCTACAGCACAGAGGCTTCTGTGGTTTAACCCACAGTGCCACCACCTCCCTGTGTCTCCTCCAGTACCACAATGCAAATGAATCATTTTTTTTCCTGTTACCTTTTTCACTGTTCAGCTTTCATACCTGTACATAGTAATCAGGGATACAGTAGTCTGAAAGATCTTGATCTTGGTCTCCACTGACACATCCTTACACTTTATGGTCTTTTCTAATTCCGTCATTGCTACTTGTCAATATCTCAGTCTTCTTCTGATTTCTTGGCTGTAGTATCCATTTGGACTGATGATTGAACCAAGGTATACAAAATCTCCAGTACTTTAAATTTCTTCATTAAAAGTTGTGTAGTTCTGTAGTTATGATTTTTGTCTTCTTAACTGCAGTCCTGCTTTTGCACTTTCTTCTTTAACTTTCATCAGGTCCTTTTAATTCATTCCTGCTTTCTGCCAGTGAGATGGTGCCATCTGAATATCTCAAATAATTGATGTTTCTTCCACCAGTTCTCACTTCTCTTTCATCTAAATCTAGTCCAGAATCTAGTCTTTCATTCAAATCTATTTTCCTTATGATATGTTCTGCATATAGATTGAACAGATAGAGAGATGTAATGCACCCTTTTCTGACACTTTTGCCTATAGGGAAGTATTCTGTCTCTACATATTCTGTCTTAACAGTACATTCTCGACCATAGTACAGATTAAGCATCATAGAATCATATCATAGAAAAGTGAAGTTGGAAGGGGCCTACAAGGCCATCAGGTCCAACCCCTGCTCAATGCAGGAATACAGTCAAAGGATATCTGCCAGGTGATTAAGTTTTTCTTGAATGCCTCCAGTGTTGGAGCACTGATCAACTCCTGAGGTAACTTGTTCCACTGTTGTACTGCTCTAATAGTTAGAAGGATTTTCCTGATATTCAACTGAAATCTGGCTTCCTTTAGCCTATTGTTGCATGTCCTGCACTCTGGGATGATCGAGAACAGATCTTGCCCCACCTCCGCATGACAGCCTTTCAAATACTTGAAAAGCACTATCATATCACCCCTCAGCCTTCTTTTCTCAAGCCTAAACATGCCTACTTCTTTCAGCCTTTCCTCATAAGGCTTGGTTTCCAGCCCCCTGATCATCCTTGTTGTCCTCCTCTGAACTTGTTCCAATTTGTTAGCATCCTTCTTGAAGTGTGGTGTCCAGAACTGGACACAATGCTGAAGGCAAGGCCTAACCAGTGCTGAATAGAGGGGGACTAGCACCTCACAGGATTTGGAAAATATACTTCTATTAATGCAGCCTAAAATAGCATTTGTCTTTTTTGTAGCCGCATCACACTGTTGGCTGATACTGAGCTTGTGATTTATGACAATTCCAAGACCCTTCTTGCTTGTAGTTTTGCTGAGCCAGGTCTCCCCCATCTTGTAACTGTGCAATTGGTTTCTTTTTCCGAGGTGTAGTACAGTACTTTCCACTTATCCCTGTTGAATTTCCTTCTGTTGCTTTTGGCCCAGTGCTCCATCCTATCAAGGTAATTTTGAATTTTGTTTTTGTCTTCTAGGATATTAGCTATTCCACCCAAATTGGTATCATCTGCAAATTTGATAAGCATTCTTTGCACTCCCTCATCCCTCATTAATACAAATATTTGAAGAGAACCAGGCCCAGGACTGAGCTTTGGGGTACCCCCTAGTTACCTCCTCCCAGTTAGAGAAGGACTCATTAATCATCACACTCTGAGTACGATTATGTAGCCAATCATGTATCCATCTAACACTTGCTCTATCCACCCCACAGCTAGTTAACCTGAAATCAGGATATGAATACTTATTTCTATGTAACAAACCTGTACAATTTATTCCTCCATAACTTATTTCTCCAAGCTGTGCGAACATAATCTTAGAGTGAAGAAATTAAGATCAATCTTGCTGCTACATGTCACCAATTGTATTTGTTATTATTTTGTTCTAACTTATGGTGATTAAACATATATTTCACCTTTCTGACAAACCACACACCCCCCCAAAGCACCTAGAGTGTCTAATTCCTTGTTTAAAAAACCCTCAAAGAAACAAATTAAAACATAAAAACAGATTCAAAGTGCCAGTTGAAAATAGAACTGACAAGGAAGGACAACACCAAACCAGAAGCATATATAATTTAAAAAGCCCTTGAATATGTGAGAGAACCAATGGGAGGAACTCAGCCTAGCTTTCTTTCAGAAGGAATTCTGGAACCTGGCACTGGCCAATGAGAAATCTGTCTCTCATGTCACCACCAAGTATACTTTTAAGCATGGTGGGACTGAGACAAGGGCCTCCTCAATTGATCTTCAGGGAAAAGTTCTTATGGGAGCACATGGGCTTTCAAATAGCCTGATTACTAGCTGCAGACATAAGTCTGAACCATATACAAGTGTATAGGTCGTAACCAAACTGGTTAACCATAACGTTGGAAGGAGCCCCATGAATCATTGAGTACAGCTCTTATCAAGGAAGCACAGTTGGAATCAACCTTTCAACCATTCTTAAGTCACTGAGGTATCCAGCATGACCACTAGATGAGTTTATCATCTGCATGGCCTGGTCATGCAGTGAGAAGAATCATCCTATGCTTCTACGCATGTCTGGAAAAGCAGGAGAGCAAGAGATTTCATTTGACTGTCTGAATCCAGAAAACTGGGTCCTCGATTGCACAACATGAGAAATAGTTATTTGATTAATAATTGTCTTTTTCACCTGGAAATGAAAAAAAAACCCACACTTTTAGAATTATTTATTTGTTTTCTCTGCACATGTAGGGTTAAGTCAACATTCTTCATGAAAACATGCACTTAAAACATTCTTCCACTTTTGATATAAAGTGGCACAGTGGTTAAACTGCAGTATTGCAGCCAAACACTGTTCAATCCCAGGTAGCTGACTCAAGGTTTACTCAGCTTTTCATCCTTCCCAGGTCAGTAAAAGGAGTACCCAGCTTGCTGCGAGGTGGGAGACAATGTGTAACCTGCACAATTAACTTATTAACCATCCAGATAGTGCTTTAAACACAATGCAAGGTGGGAGACAATGTGTAACAATGTGCACATTTAACTTATAAACCATCCAGATAGTGCTTTAAACACAATGGGGAAGTGTATAAGCAGCACACTTTGCCTTTACTTTGCCTAGAATAGAATATTGTCTTAATTGCTCAGTGGCCCCAATTTTAATGGCAATTTTAATTACTACTTTATATCTTCATACGATGTGGATGGTATTGTGCAAATTATATTATACGTATAGTCCTGACCATCTTACAGGCCTGTAACACAATTTATCAAGCGATTAACAAACACTATACTATATTGTCTTTCTTTAAGGATGTTTTCTTACAGTGACCAGTTTACCAGAGCAATATGTCTTTGAGTAACAGTGCTGTTTCTCTGAATGCTTTCTTAGCATTGTCTAGGTAACATTCAATATTTTTGCAAAATATGTCTAGGCTCTTCCCTCAGGGCAGCATGTCAGACAGCTACCATTTCCCAGTGTGAGGTTGGCTAGTAGCAATATGAAGCCAACAGATGGAACTGCAGACATGACAATCGGTGGGTGGATGTAGGAGTCAGTTATTAGATTGTAGCCAAATAGTTACTAGAAATGTTTTTCTGCTTTCCAAATAGGAGAAATTTTGCCCTGATTACTCAGGCTTTTGTTTAGATCAAGTTTGAGAAGCTTTTCTTTTGTCTGTTTAGATCTCAGCCAGCTTGTTTCAACAAGT